CGCCACCTCTGCTGCCGACGCGACATCACTCTAGCCGTGAAGGGCAGACTTATAATGCAGCCGTCCGTTCAACCCGCTTATACGATTGTGAAACCTGGCCCATCAGGTTGACCGACATAAAGAGGCTAGTTACGTTAGATCATCGGTGCCTTCGCAACTTAGCTCATGTCTAGTTGAACCACCGCGTTAGCAATGAATGTGTTCGTCGTCGCGTATTTGGCGCAGGAAGAGCAAGTGAACCGCTTAGCACCATTATGTTACGCACCAAACTCCGATGGCTAGGCCACGTGTTGCGCATGCCAGCACACTGACTCCCGCGAGGTGCGTTGTTTGCGCGCCCGGGGTCGGGTTGAAAGATGAGAAGAGGCCAAGCGATGACTTGGTCAAGAGGAATGAAGTCCCTTGGCGTCGGTTGGTATATCCCGACTGCCTGGCTGGGGTCGCAAGGACGATGAACACGTTTGGTTGGACACACTTGCTGATATGGCGAAGAGCCGGCCCCTGTGGTGTTGATGTTGTGGGTTTATTTGTCCATCTCCCTCCCCTTTAGATTCTCCCTCCAGTTACGATTTCACACGAAATCCATAAGATAATATTTAACATGAGATTACCAACATTTTGAATTATTTGCAGCGTAATCTTTTTATTATCGTATGTTTCTGTATCGCGGCACATTAGCTGAGCAGTATTTCTCACCCTCAGCTAACGTGTATTGATGACGGTGGTGATTGGCCGCCGATGATTCCCTCGTTTGGTTGTGCTGGGACGATACCATGTGCCTAAGGAACTCAAGCGGCTACTCTGTATTCTACTCGTCCGCAGTTTTAGACATCAACACACAATTCGTAACATTTTCACTTTAGAATACCCTATTCCTCCCTAATCATTTTTGCGGCCTGCTGGAAAACACTCCAGCACCTAGCCTGTTACCTTGGCATAACCGTAGCCGTGCCAGAACAAGTTGTGTCGCAGACCTGGAAATAAAGTATATCCCATTCTTCTTGCTAATTTATTAAGTTACCAAAATCATTGGGGCATTTGATAATTTAACTTTAATAGCTGTCTTTTTAACTAAATTTTTACTATGTTGCCTTGTTCTTGTATACCATTTGGGAGCTTGTTTCTCCCCCAATATATCAGCAGTAATGGTTTAGCCCAGAAGAACGTTTTTACACACTTACAGGACATAGACGAGAAAAATTCGCAACTTTTCTTGTTCTAATTTAAACTTGAGCGAAATGCAGCGAAAACCGCTTGTGACAACAACAGTGTATTTGGTCTTGAATACACAACTAACTGTACTGTACAATGATAGTTTCACATTTTCGAAAAAGATACGAGAAGCTGGAACGGCGTTGTGGACAGCCATCGGAAGTGAACTACGATCAGTTAAGGTTCTTACTTGAAGCGGCTTGGTGCAAAACTGTTCGTGATCATGCTTCGTACTTAGCTGCATTATATGTGGCGACTTTTAAAAATTCTAAAGATTGCAGGGAAAACTTGTGTACTTGCTGCTGTACGAATTAAATACAAATCAAGGAAATCCGCTTTTTGAGTTGTCCTCTGCTCTTGTTCGCACAATGAAAATGGCAGGTTCCTTAACAGTAAATAAATAAATAAATAAATATATATATATATATATACATATATATTCTCAGTGTTTAGAGTCACCTATTTGGTAGCTGGGTCTGATGGCACCGTGTATTGGTTACCAATGCCACGCCATTCCGAGAAGGACAAATACGTGACGCATTAAGCAACCGAGGACCAGACTCAGCCGTAACGTCAGCTAGAAGGGTTCATGGATCACACGGTTTAAACATTCTGTTCAAAAATCCATACAAGTCATTTAAGTGTAAAAGCTGCTTTTAATTTCAGTTAGAAATTTATACGACGAAATCACAGTAAAACCGGAAAAACCGCCGTCATCATTCCACACCTTAGTGATTGATGAGGAACGCCTCATCTAGTCTATCGCATTACAATTGCAGTAGATGATAGTAAAAAGGTGGGAAAAAATACTAACTAACGCACAACTTTCCGAACATTTCAAAAAAAGATGTCCGTTAAATGAAGTCCTGTGTTATCCCTAAAGTTTGGCCTGACTTTATCTAAATCGTTTTTCGCTTATCCTTTAGCATGACCCCTAAGTCACTTTAATATATCAAAACGAATTCTTACGGATTGCTGGACATTCCTCCTATGGCTTCAGACATGACGGATACGCTTTACTTCCTCGAAAGTAATGGATCATCATCAAATGCTAGCTAATGATGAGAGACACCTCAGGTATTGTGCTGCAATAAATTAAAATTAGTAATACGTTAAAAACAGAAATAAAAGCATCCAAACAATTCAAAATAAGGCAAACAATGAACACGTATTAGCAGTAAACGACCAACGCTTACTTTCAATTGATCTGGTGAGCCAAGCGTCGAAACAGTCTCCAAAGCCTCCACTGTCTCAATGTCCCTTGCAAAGCACAAGTAATCAATGAATCCCTTGTTCTTGTTTGATCTATATCTTTCCACCAAAGCTGTCATTTCCGAATCGGAAATATCCACCGGACCGGGGAAAACTCGATAAAACTAGGAATTATAATTATAAACACGCTAAGCATATCATTACTTGACTTTCAGTTACCAGTCCAACGTTATGCACATCAAATTGCTTGTAACATTCTCTAATAGTTATTCCTCTGTATTTTGTAAACTGATTTATTCGCGACAGTGTCGGCCTCAAATCGTCAAACCTCTCATCACCCGGTCGTGTGTGGGGAGCACCGGTGCCAACATAAGGCGAACTAAAGCAACTTATAAGATATCAGTACTAGAATACAAACTTTATGGTGTTCAAAATCTTGCAGGATGGATGAGTCTTGAAATCATTAACATCGAAAGTACCCTCAATATCTGACACAAATCTACGCCAATCCATTTCCTTTCCTTGATTGCGTCCATATTTGCCAATCAGATATTCCTCTACATCCGAAGCAACTGCTAAACCGAGTAAGTTTCTCAGTACTCTGAAAAATTGCCCCACTGCAACATAGCATTTCCAAAATAGCAAAAGATACCAGTAACCGATCCCGATCGCATTTGATCATATTCGAGGAAGCTATCCTCAATTCGACATTGCCTGTCCTTTGCAATGTCACGAATATAGTTTTCGACATTGTTAATAATATCCAGTGCCATAACTGCGTTATGTGGTGTAGTACGCGTCAAGTGCGACTTTACGATTCCTTCCTTGCCCAATAAACGAAGTGGATCTCAACAGACTTGGGGAACTGAAACGGAAGAGCAAATAACTCGTGAGCGGCTGGTTGTTGACTGTTGTAACCACATGGTAACAACACTTAATAGCATGAGTGACCGTTAAGTTTACGCGGGAATGATCATTGGGCTGCGAACGGTTGGACAGATGAGCTTGGGAGTCACGTGGTATGCGGATGATTATGAGTTGTCTCGCAGTTTGAGAGGTGGGGTTCCGCTGCTATGAACCTAATCTGTTATTCTACGGGTACTTAAATAATGAATTAATACATCAAGTGAGCTGATACTAAATTGTATTGGTTTTCTGCTGCGAGCCGAGTCATCCGTACTAAATATGCATTGACGTGCTAATACACCGTATTTATTCGCAGCTAAGGGCATTTTCCACGTGTTGCGCCATGTTTCCTGAACCATCAGGTTCTCGTGGACTTTTTCTAGGTATCTCGAACATATTGAGGATTATAAAGTTAACGTAATTTCAGGTCATGTCTTCTGTCATGATTAATTTTGTCCGTCAAGATCATGACGTAAATCGAGAAGAGCAGAGGACCTAATGCGCTACACTGAATCACGGCACTAGTAACAAGCACCGATGAGGAACTGTGAAAATAATATCACTTTTTGGGTGAGACCAGTAAATCTTGATTTGTGCCAGACATGCAAAGAATTCATGATGTCGATGTCACTGAGAACGCAACGCGGTGCAGACGAGTTGTGAATTAGAGAACCCACGTCTATGTGTTATAACAGTTCGAATGGAGAAACTCGGACCCATCTGCTCAATTCCTTCGTCGTATCTTTCCGACTGTCTGTTCTGCTACGCCTCTTCATTCACGATATATTGGTAGAGGTGGATTTCTGCACCACACGTCCTTCATCCTGTTGATTTGTGCGTCACGCTTTCTTAGTTCGCAGCGAGCCACAATCTTTTAGATCTCCTTGAGTTCCCTCGTTTCCACAGATACTACTCATTTGTAGCGCACCACACTTTTCTTGCAGGTTGCTAAACTCTTTGCATATTGAGAAACATGGATGTTTTGACCCAGAGATTGCTTTTTCATTGAAGGGTCTCTGGGTGAATCTGAGTTTGGGATTCGTCAAGGTGTTGCCTGTTTTCTATGATTACTTTATTCAATAACCACGTTATCTCGGTTCCGGTTTTGGTTCTTGTTGATTTCCCGGCGAGACACGCGTTGCTTTACTTCCCAAGCGTTTTTGACGTTGACAGCCCCTTGTTAGTTCCTTAAACATGTTACCGAGTAATTTGGCACGTTCAGTTTAAATGTTTGGCATGAACAACATTTAAAAACCATTTTATGCGGATCAGTTAAGTTTTGGGAAGTATTGCTTGTTTTTACTTTGACCATTTGTCCCACCGCTCTAGAAATAATCGCTTGTGACTAATTAGCGTTATATCTGATGTATCGCTTATGTCCATACTGTTTCTAAATCTGATTATTCTAACCTTGTAGTAAGTTAGAAACATGCCCTACATCATGGGTATTAAAGAACAAATTCAGCAGTTCAGGTCAACATTGCAAACAATTCGGGTCAAATTAGGGAATATTCGTAGTCGATCGATGGGGTGCTAAAAATTAACACAGCCTAAATTCACTGTGCACAGCTTGATAATGTTTGTAGGCGTGTCAAGAAATATCGCACTAAAAAGCAAGTGACAAACTACAGTGTCTGCTTGAACTGATCTCTATCATGTAAAAGCTTGTGTTCAATGTTTCTTCCCGTAATAAGTAAACGGTACCAGTCTACGGTCGCATGTTGCATCGTGCTAAGGTTATTCTACCTAGGTCCATGAAATCGTTACAAGCCTCCAGAACTTGCTTCCCTCGTCAGTAGTCCCGGTGCTCACATAGCAGTTTGTTCGGCCTAATCAACGTGCACTTTTAATGCGCTACATATATGCAGAAAATTCTTACCGGGTCACTGTAAATCGATCAGTACTTTATTCGCACAATGCGGTTTACCTTTCATTGAGATCTGTTTATATTTCACCATCCGTAATCTGTGGTTCCTTAGTAGGAAAGGAAAAGTCCCATGTCATTGTTTTCAACAGGGTGGAAAATTTATCAATGTCTAATTGCAGCGTTTATGCAGAGCGTCGCCGGAACCAAAAATTAGAATTTACGACATCGATATCATTGCAAAGCTGAGATGTTCTACATTATTTCTATTGCCTGGAAAGTGAGATTGCACGTTGGCCGAATAAAGCAAATAACCTGTGTGAACAGTAAGGCTAGCGTATTTTTACTTTTAGTTACTTTGTAAGTGTGTAGCAGTCTGGAGATTCCCCGGTTTGCCTGTATAAAATACTAAACACAATCCCTATTTCATGGTACACTTAGGCGCCCGGTGTGAATTGTCGAACTAGTTGTTCAGATCGGTTGCTTGAGTTAAGAATCTCCATTTGTGCTTGGTGTTCTTTTCGATTGCAACGCGCGACTGTTCCGTGTGCTGTGCATTTTTCGTTCCCCTAGCTATCAGCGTTCAACGGTGTCGCTTTTTATGGTTAAGTGAACAGGAAAGCTTGTGCTTCGCAAATACAGTTTTCCTGCTACTCGATCTGTCTTTTGGAATCGCTACCTGGGCTCCCATCAAAAGTGATTTAGGGCCGTCTTGGTGTGCAAATCCCTGCAAAGAATCTAGTAAGTTTAGAATGAGCCTCCAATGGAATATCAGTGACTGATTTTTGCACGCGAGAGTAACCGCTGGAGTACAGTGATTGGTTATGTCTTACTGGCCATCCCAATGGGCCACATAACGGTAACATCCAGGCCCCTCCAAAATCTAACCTCCGTAGGCTGAACACAAGCAATGAAGGAATTTTTCCACGACGGCACATGCTTTTCACACTCAAAGCAAATCTATATATGTATGTGTACAACTGTACTAGTTTAAAAATGTATAAAACTTTAATCGAAGTTCCGTCGCTTGGCACAAAGTTTTGCGCTCCTAGACACAGGGATAACTAGCTCGATTGTGAGTTACAATTTGAAAGTTTATACGACCAGACGAACGGGCTAGTCACTAAGTCGAGTATGGATCTAGAACGTTTTAAGTGTTTTTTGGTGAATTGCTGCTACCGATATCGTAAACACCGTTTGCGTCATCATGGACCGCAAACACGAAGACACCCGGATGCTCTAAAGGAACTAAAGCGCAACGAGGAGGTCATCGTCTGTAGACCAGACAAGGGTGCGGAGATTGTGCTACTAGACCGAAAAGATTACATAGATAAACTAACATCAATACTGAGCGACAAGATTAAGTTTTCGTGCAGCACAGGGGAAATAGACCGGACGGAACAAATTGAAACACAGATCACTAAGAGCTTGCAAGAACTGTAGCGCCCAAAAAGAACTGCTATCTTTCATGTACAGTTTAATTGTTGACCGACTGTACATTATTCCTTCTTGTTTTAATCTTCCTTACAACCGACTCGCCACTCGACCGCCTTGTAAGTTCCCGCGCTCACGTGTTTGCTCTTGTTTCTCTTCATTCGTCCGCGTCTTATTGTAGCCCATCGAATACAGTCCGCTGTGTCCGACTCCAATTGCCTTCTGATATCCGTGCTTACTTTCGCGCACCGTCTCGGACTAGTATTAACTAGTCCTACAAATTGGTGACCCCGACGTGACTATGTCGTGGCGACCTCTGCCGTGACTGGCGGAAGCTCTGCAGCTGGTCGTACCAGTCGCGGGTATTCAGAGAGTAGGTTCGCCTAATCTGATGGTACATTGGTGATTCGAAAAACGGGA